TCGCTTCAACGATTCTCAAAGGAACTTGCCGATTATTTTCCCAACGGTGACATGGGGTTTGACAATTCTTATTGTAATTGGGAAAATTGAGACACCAACGTTGGTGTTGATTTACAATCAGCTTATAAACAATAATGGACTAGATGTCAATATTTTTTTTAAATTTTGAAAAAATAGGCTAAGATGGGTTATCTAACAATGTCGGCGACAACCAAATTTGATGTACGATGTTATCTTCTTCAAAACCCCAGAAACCTCTTCCCCTTGTGGATAGATAGAGATCGGCAATAGTCTCTTGTTTCGATATAACTCGGAATGACATATCATGGAATTCTTTTTTATGACATGACTCAGAATAGCAAATGAAATGAAGTTTTACGCTCCTATCAGTGGCGGAGCCAGGTTTACGTCCGAGAGAGGATGAGGGGGTGAGATATCTGAGATTGTCCGAATCTTTAACCTAGTTATGAGATTTTTGCCCGAAAAACTTGCTTTCGACTGCCCCCCGGCCCCCCTTGGGCTCCGCCACTGGCTCCTATATTATACAGTGGCGGAATCTCCACCCCCCTCTATGGAAAAATGGTTTGACCCTTCGACTTGCTTGACGAAAATGAGGCCGCCAGGCTGAGAAAGCTGCAAAATTTGACATCAATACAAACTATCCCATTTTCCTGTCTCAATCAAACACAAAATTATCAAATATTTGAAAAATTCTTTTTAAATACCAAGATAAGATCTGTATAACCGGATATGTTATATCAAGATAAACTAGATATAATGCTTTGAGAAAATATAATATACATGCAATTGTGACATTATCTTATTTTGCGATCTCGAATCTTGATATTCACATAAATATTAAATAATATTACCAACATCTCTCGGAAACTGCCTTCCCTCTCTTAAAGTTGTCCTAGAAGAATAGGTTAAAACAAGCTCCTAGCCGTACTTGATTGTTCGAAGGGGCAAGATATATACCCGAAGGGACAATGATGTATGGTGTTTATTTGAAGTAATGGAATTGGTCGGTTGTTAGAATTTTTTTTAGGAGGGGGGGGGGGGCGTCTATTTTTTCGTGCATATTGCAAAAACGCGGATGATTTGGGACACACATGGATCTAAAGATGGATTCCCTTATTTGCATTTATGAAAATGAAAATTGCTAATACTTACATGGATAGAAAGTAGGGGTATTCTTATGACTTGGAAAAATACCAGTTTGTCTCACATGTCCATAATTAATTCATAATTTGCTAAATAGGAAGAGAATTACCGACAGAATTCCAACTAGTGACCGATCAAGAAAGGTCAAAGTCTCTAAGAACCTATTTCTTCCTCTACAGAACTAGGAAGAAGAAGACTAAGTCGTGTCATCATTAATATTTATTTTTCTTCCGAAACAATATCTGAAATGCTCAGTAAAGATAGTCATTGATATTCATTACAACAGAGCATCGGCGACAAGAATCGGCTTATATCAAAGGCAAAGGATATGTCCATGTTTGGACTACATAATTCCAACTACAAATTAGATTTCGTCTCATTTTTTTTTGACGATCTCCGTTGTAATCTGACGAGATTTATTCCAAAGTTAAGTTCTTTTATAATATTGCTCTACTTTGGGTTTCGCAGCAAAACTTTCGTTTTCCAACAATTCAAAGTCTGCATGATGCGCTGTGATTGGTTGAAATGAACGTCAACAGAACACGACCTTGGTATAAATCTTTTAAGATTACAGTGGAGACGAAAAATAATAACGAAACGAAATGGAAATCTAAAATTTAAGTAGATTGGGGGAAAGCCCATGTTTGGACGCAATAATTCCAATTAGTAATTATAAGTATAGAAAATAACATATAAATCATGGTGGAAGTTGCGTATCTTTGACTGACTAAACATGGGTGGCGCTCGATTGCAGAGTTCTGAACATGTTCCGCCTATTCCAATTCTGCCCTCAATTGATCGGTGCGGAAGCGGAATAAGTCACATTCAATATTTTCCTATCTATTTCCCTCATTGCCATTTTGAATTTTGTCCGCACCTACTATTTTTTTCGCCACAGGTAGAACGCGTTCTGAACCCTGTTCTAACTTGTTTTATTGAATATCCGAGCGCCACCCGCCCAAGTGGTTTTAATGAAAGATATGAAATGAACCAGTGATGGATGTGGAATTATGAAGGAACCAATGGTAGAATAAATATACATTTGAAAAAAACAAATAGGCTACATAAATATTGTAAACAAAACTTCTTAAAAAATTTCTAAACGTATTAGAGTAGGCCAAGCTCCTTTAACAAAATTACAGCCCTATAAATGTGCTGGAAATGCATGATCATGTTCGCCATTTTCGGGAGTTGATTTGGGTTCTAAATATTATATGTAAATAATATTCAGAAGTACTAGAAATGAACTAAAATCCTTCGAAAATACTTCAAACTAGGAATTTCACTTTCTATTTCTACAAACGTTTTTCAATATATGGTAGAGTCTCATGAAAAGACGAGTCATCTTTTCAACTTTCTAATCCGGATAATTGTGGGCTCCAATGGATTTGAAGGCTCAAATTTTGACCTTGAGCTGTAAACACTATTACCGATTAGCTTAGCTAAAACATTTCCGTTTCTGAGATTAGGGTACGATTGGTAAAAAACGGTCGAAACTGTTCCAGATATACCTACCATTCATATAACATTTTTTCAATAAACCATACATAAATAGTTTTAAAAACTTTAAAACATAACATTATGATATATATCTATTTTTCAAAAATGATCAGTAAAAGTTATAATTTTAAACACAACAGATTTATAAATTGCCATCAGGAGAAAAAAGGTTTACTTTAAAAATTTGGCACGGCCCTTGTCATTGAGTTAAAAACTCTTTTAAAGGTACACTACCTCTCAGAATGACCAAATTTGGAAATTTTGAAACTTGGTTAAAATGAGTCTTTGTTCATCAGTGAACTTACCTGGTGTTATAACTATACAACAGAATCTCTCTATAATCTAATAAATCTATAAAACTAAGTAATAATTCATTAAACTAAGTCATTTTGAAATATGCTCAGAAATGTTTTTCAATAATTATTTAGTTTAATAGATATATCATCTTATATAGAGATTCTATTCTTTAGTCATGACACCTGGTAAGTCTAACTGATAAATATATACACGTCTTGTTGACCAAGTTTGTAATTTCATTTTTATGTCCATTTTAGGAGGCAGAATTACTTTAAAGTGTACAGTAGTCTAAATATTTCCTTTACCAGCTAATATATAAACAGAAATTTTGGTTTGTCATTTTCATTTCCACCATATATTTGTCTTGAATTGAAGAGAAACTTTACATCAGATTTTGATTTTGAAAAGTGTTACAGATAAATGAAATTGAGCTCTATCAGTCGGTAAAGAAAATAAATAAACAACTATTACCCTTAAAATATAATAAATTCAAGTCATAAATATATATATACAATCTAAAATAAATACTTACAATTTAAAATAAATATATTTCATAGGTTTAACAAATATATATCCAGCATCTCTCTTATATACATAATATCAGATATTATTAAAAGAGATTGTAAAGAGGTTTTCTATATTTTTTTATGTGTATCATTCCAATGTTTAATTTGAAATCTGTGTTCCTGCAATTCCCGCAAAAAGCAATGTAATTGCAATAAAACTAATCGCGAAGGGTTTTATGTGATAAAGCTTATTTTGCAATTAGTGTCATCATCAAACACTTAGTTTTAGTGGAATTGTAGAAACCACAGACGTCTGATTGATAATAGGAATGGTGTAAATTGATCCTATCAGTTTCCCCGATACACATACAAAAATTTGAAACCTCTTTACAATCCTTTAATTTAGTACATGTTGCTGAAAGGCATTTACACCTGGAGACCCTAAATCCAATCTAAAAATTAAAATAACATTACAACTTCGTATCTTTTTATCTTCTGATAATTTAGTCTCCATTGTAATCTAACAAGTTTTCTACTGAAGACCCGTCCAAATGATGTTATTTTTAACCAATCAAAGCGTGTCATTAAAACCCTGTCATGTTTCTTGATAAAATAAGGAATTGTGAGATAGCGAAACCCAAAAAGGCTGTCATATTGGCCTCCTTCCGGTATCAATATCCCACAATTCCTTAGTTTATCAAGAAACTGGTTTTACATGACACATTTTGATTGGTTAAAAATAACATCATTTGGACAGACTTTTGGTAGAAAACTTGTTAGATTACAATGGAGACTAAAATATCCGAAAACAAAAATGATGCGAAAATGATTTGAGCATTCTTCTGATTGGTGGATTACGTAAATTCACTTTAACCTTATTTTTATCAACCAATGAGAATACAGTATTTCCTGAACTCAAGATTAAGTTCACTTTTTATGATTAGAACCCCAAGTAAAAAACATGGCAGTGCAGTGACTAATAATATTTGTGGTAAAACGTCTAGCGTTAATGTGGTTCACGAAAAATTTAGAAGCTGACAGTTGATCAAGCTTAAAATTGTTTATTAAAAGGCTGTTTTAACCAATTGGACTTAAAATTTAGTTATGTGATATTAAAGAGATTGTAAAGAGGTTCTCTAAAATTTTTATGTATATGGAGGACACTGATATCATCAATTTGTATCTGTCCAATTTTCAATCAGGTGTCTGTGTTTCCTGCAATTCTACTAAAACTACGGGTTTGATGACGTCACTAATCACGAAGGGACTTATATGATAATGCTTACATTGCAAACTAAGCACTTTTCGGTGGAATTGCAGGTGCAAATTGATGCTATCAGTGTCCCTGATACACATAACAAATTGAAAAAAAAACCCTTTACAATCCCTTTAAGACAAATATATAAATACAAATCTAAAAGAAAATCTCCAGTGCCATTGATTTTATTGGAAGGATTAATTTTGTTAAGAAAATGGGCCCACACCCTGAAATTTGAGACAGAAGTGGTATTTCAAGATATATCTAAGTTTAACTTAACGTCCCCTATTTTTACCCTTTGGTTTACTTCTGGATATAGGCTCATCTTGGATCTTTTTGCGTCTTTCCACTGTTACCCACTCTTCAGTCTGTTCCTTTCCATCCTTTACTGAACTATCTTTAGGTTTGGCACTTTGGTTTTTGGTTGGAGAAAGTGGATTATTGGTAGAGGGGACCACAGTATGTGGGTTTGCAGAGTGACCTCCCTTATACCTAGAAGAAGACGTCTGATACCCTTGACTACCAGGTGGTCGCTGGTTACCATCACGTTTTCCTCGGTTGTAAGCTGTGTGACGCTCTTGAGGTGGATTGATCTTCTTTGGAATGTTGCCATGGAATTGAGGATGTTTTGAAGACCTGTCCACGGGGTCACCACTAGCAACTTGTCTCTTAGGAATGTCAATGGTCTTCAACAACATTTGTTTATTAAAAGAGGGCTCACTATTGTTCCACTTACCATCCAAAAAACCATCCCTAGATCTTCTAGCTTGAGGTGCAGAAACTTGCCTATCAATGTTATGATAATAACCTTGGATGCTTCTTAGTGGTCCATTTTTCAAAGATGATGATGCACTATTACTTGCAAAATATTGATTTCCAGGGGTCCCTTTTTTCCGGCAGGCTTCTGCGTAGGAATTAGAGTGATGTTCACTGAAACCACTGGAACTGCTATTGGATGTTTCATCATCACCTACAGCAAACTTCACCCGAGGTGAATTCCGTCCACTACCAGCATTGGTATCAACTGAAGGAGATCTAGCTCGAGAACTCTGACGAGATAAAATAGAGATCAAAGATGCTGAAGAGTCATATGATGGTTGAAGAACTGCATTAGATCCTGGTACAGGTTTGGGTTGTAATGATCCTAAACTGGTTATAGATGGTTTTCTTCCCATAACTATACTAGACCATTCATCTGGACCCTCTGGAGCAAAAAAAAAACAAGAACGATTTTAAGTGTTTTTCTCTCTCCAGCATTTCCTTAAAACTAAATATATGGTCAGGATTGACGGGATCCTCCACATTCAAAAATGTCAAAGTTAAGTCTGCCACACACGACGAGAACTAGCTGAGCTACCTGCCTCGAGAGGTCAGGGTCTAAGCTGTTTCCCCAGTCTGCGATAAATTGTAGTGAGACTTCTACCTAAGAGGCTGTGAAAAAAAATATCTATCCCGTTTGATATTTTATGCCACTAGAGGCCATAAACTAATCGTGTGTGAACGTGAAAAGTGACTAACCAATAAAAATGAGTTGACGGATCACTTGGTATCCAACCATCGCTGACCTCGTGAATGTTGAAATTTTAGAACATCAACTTGTTGAAAAATGGCACGACTACCTGTGTCTATACGCTGTTAATTCTACGGAATTCAAAACAGGGACATGAGACCATTTTTAAAGTCAAACAAGGATGCAATGCGGTTGCTTTTGTTAACGTACGGAATTGGCCGAAGGTGATAGCTCTCGTCTGCAGTGGGGTGGAATGAGAATGTTGCTCAGCTGACAGCCTCTCGACGCAGGCAGCTCAGTTAGTTCCTCTCATCTAAGGCTTTGTCTTAAAGATGGGTCCCTTATCTTCATTTAGGAAAATGAAAATGCAAATGATTGTATGAATAGAAAGATAGTGGACCATAGCCATATACGCCCACCGCGGCATGCGGATGGTAAATATTCAAGATTTTGGGGCAAGGGCAATAACTCCGCTTCTATTGGTCGAAAATAGCTCAAATTCGAACTTCGTTTTATGAATATGTCTACACATACCGAATTTCATTTGATTCCATCAAAAAAATCTAGTTTTATGAGCGTTTCAAGCAAGTGTTGACGGACGGACGGACGGTCGAACGGACAGGGGTGCCGACAATATACGTCACGGACGGACAGGGGTGCCGACAATATACGTCCACATAGAGAGATGCGTATAAAAAGTAAAAGTGTTCTAATGACTTGGAAAATACCAGTTTGTCTCACATGTCCATAATTAATTCATAATTAGCTAAATTAGAAGAGAATTACGAACAGAATTCCAATGAGTGACCGATCAAGAAAGGTCAAAAAGTATTTGTTTGTTTATCCAGTACATACATTTTACTGTACATACATGGACATTTATGATTGGTTAAAACTCTTAATCATATGCAATAAGAACATAATGATGTGATTAAGAATACATGATAATTCATTGCAAACACCAATTAATCAAATAGTTTGCTTAATTTGACACTAAAAAATAAGGAAACCCATCTTTAAGCATATAACAATAACCACACTTAATTTCACAGCTATAAATAAAGAACTTACTTTTATTGTCTTTAATTACAACATCTTTCTCATAGAATCTGTTGGCCCAGGCACCACGTAGAGCTGGTGTACTGTAAGATTTGGACCGGACTGGAGAATAAGGTACATCTATTGTGGGTGATGTTTTAATAGGTTCTAATGATAAGGTAATAGTCTGCTGTATAGAATCAGGATGGGTGGAAATCTGGTGAAGATGTCTGGTGGTTTTTGGACTTTCAACTGTGGACTGAAAGAAGATGGAAAGAAATCTAAACCTACGATCTGGGACTTTACTGAGTTTTTTTAAAAAAAAAGTGTTATGTCCTACCCCTCTTACTTGCATCACTGAGAGGATTAAAAAAATCCGAACGTATTATCTCGACCTATGCCAGGATTGAACCCTGGACCTTCAGGTTTAGGTCTAACATTGGGGCTAATGCTATGATATCTATATCTTTGATCTATTAAAATACTTACTTCATATGTAACTATACATTCAATAGTCATTCCTTCCACAATTCCAACACACCATTTCTCCATTATAAATGGTGGCTGCAATAAATAATTTAAGAAGCATTTCTAAAGTTAATTCAGAGTATATTTTAATTTGGTCGAGGGAAATCACTCCACAATAGAAATGTTGAAACAGTTGACTCCACTGAATCATGATCAAAGAAAGCAACTTACAGCACTGCTGTATGCAAGTGTGTAAAAAATATATGTACATATAGAATAAAAAACTTTATGAGTCATACCTGTTTTATTTTGAATGTACCAAAGGCAGGAGCTTTACAGATGAAAGTAACATTATTGATATATATTAATGGATTAATACTGTCTTCTGGTGTATCACTCTTATCTTCATTCTCATCTACTTCTACATACATCTTCCATTTATGGTCCTACAAAAAATCATAACTTAATCAGACAACTGATCAACCATTAAGTCAATCAGACAACTGATCAACCATTAAGTCAATCAGACAACTGATCAATCAATCAGACAACTGATCAATCAATCAGACAACTGATCAATCAATCAGACAACTGATCAATCTATCAGACAACTGATCAATCAATCAGATAACTGATCAATCAATCAGACAACTGATCAATCAACCATACAACTGACCAATCAATCAGACAACTGGTCAATCAATCAGACAACTGATCAATCAATCATACAATCAGACCACTGATGAATTAATCAGACCACTGATGAATTAATCAGACCACTGATGAATTAATCAGACCACTGATGAATTATGAATTAATCAGACCACTGATGAATTATGAATTAATCAGACCACTGATGAATTAATCAGACCACTGATGAATTAATCAGACCACTGATGAATTAATCAGACAATTGATGAATAAATGAGACATTTGATCAATCAGACAATTTATCAATCAATCAGACAATTTATCAATCAATCAGACAATTTATCAATCAATCAGACAATTTATCAATCAATCAGTCAACTAATCAATCAATGAAACAATTGATCAATCAATAAGAACATCCGATCAATCAATATGACAAATAAAAAATGGATCAATCTGACAAAAAATCATTTAAGTTATCAATCCATCAGGCAATCAATTACATAATTGATCAATCAATCAGACAATTGATCAATCAATGAGTCAACTTGCTTATCAATCAGACAAGCAATCAGACAACAGATATATTCAAACTGACAACAGATCAATCAATTAGGCAAATGAGCAACTAATTAGACAAATGATGAACTAATTAGATAATTTTTTTAACTAAATTAGTTAGTAAAATTTGTATGTGTATCGGGGATACTGATAGCTTCAATTTCAACCATTCAAATTTTCAATCAGACTTCTGTGGTTCCTGCAATTTCACTGGAACTAAGTGTTTTCTGACGTCACTCATTGCAAAATATGCTTTATCAAGGACTTTGCGATTAAAGACGTCATAAAACGCCTAATTTTAATAGAATTGCAGGAACCTCAGACGACTGGAATTAGATTGGAATTGGAATGGCACATTTTGATGCTTTCAGTGTCCCTGATACAAGTTTAAAAAAATTAAAAAACTCGTCACAATCTCTTTAAATATCTTTGAAAAAAAATGACAAAACATGTAGTTAAGAAAAGTCATTAATAATATTGTCTAGTAACACATGGTTACCCATAAACAATCATTACTAGATCTTATCATTTCCATTTCAAAATGTACAGAAATCCACAGTAACTCCGCAGGAAGTCACCCATTCACAGCAGGGTGGTGGCGTGAATTGCCAACATATATGCTCATTATATGTCATTCTATCTTTTAATGTAATAGAATGGAGGCTAGGTTTTCCATGATGTACTAGATAACTTCATTTCAAATGAAGATAAATGTTCAAATTATCTTTTATAATAATCAGTTCAACTGTATGATAAACAGAAGTCTTGGTGTTTCTGTTAATGGTAGTTTCTCTGTGAATAAGTAGAAAATAATATTTATTGCAATAATATAATTTTTTCTTCAGTTATAATTGCCGATTCAAGTTTTTTTTATGTAAATATTGCAAAGCATTAGATAAAATATATTATCCTTGTGCCAAAATATTAATAAAGATTAAATCAAGATTTTTTAGAGAACAAATTTTGACACGTTTTTACTAAGTCAAGGGCAATAACTCAAAAACTATTCAGCAAAAAATCTTGAAATTTGAACTAGATCAAGATCTCACGAAAATAAATCATCACACTAAATTTCATTATAATTGAATGAAGTCTCTATTGTGCTCACAAACAAATTTGGATGCGTTTTTACTATGTCATGGGCAATAACTCAAAAACTGTTTGTCAAAAACTTGAACTTGATTACATCTCATGAATATAAATCATCACAACAAATTTCATTCAAATCAGATGAAAATAGTAGTCGCTATTGTGCTCACAAACAAATTTGGATGAGTTTTTTATAAAGTCAAGAGCAATAACTCAAAAACTGTTTGTCAAAAAATCATAAAATTTGAAGTTGATCAAGATCTCATGAATATAAATCATCACACCAAATTTAATTAAAATCAGATAAAAACTGTAGTATCTATTATGTTAGCAAACAAATCAAGGGCAATAATTCAAAAAATCCTCAAATTTGTGTTTTCACAAGAAATCTGGATGGAGCCTTTCAGATATCCGTATCAATTTTAACTTCAATTGTGTCTAATTGCAGTTAAACCAGACATTCATTCGGTCAATTTTGAAAAGTGATACAGATTACCCTCCAAAATTTACCACAAAAGGGAGATTATAAAATTATCTATACACTAACCTCCAATGATTTGCCGTGACGTATGTGATGACCAAATATCAAAGTTAAACTAATGGTTCGATGTGGGACGGTTAATAAACCCGGTTCCGGTTCAGATGACACTTGTTTTATCTCCTAGTAAAAAAAAGTTAAGTTTTAGGTATAACAGCAAGTTCATTTACTTATATTTAGATGAGATAAAGGCCTATCTTAAAGGAAACGTAAACAGGTTTTTAGAATTTTTATCTTGTATCAGGGACACTGATAGAATCAATTTGTACCATTCCAATTTTCAATCAGATGTATGTGGTTCCTGCAATTCCACTAAAACTAAGTGTTTGATGATGTCACTGATTGCAAAATATGCTTTATCATAAAAGGTCCTTCACGATTAGTGACGTCATCGAACACTTTTAGTGGGATTGCAGGAACCACAGATGGAATGGTACAAATTGATGTTATCAAAGTCCCTGATACACATAAAAAATTTAGAAAACCTCTTAACAATTCCTTTAAATCTAATACCATTTGACACTTTCTGAAACTTTGGGATGTCACTGATCACAAAAGGCATTATCACATAGCGATTAGTGACATCATCAAACATTAACATTTAGTGGAATTGCAGGAACCACAGACATAAAGTACACATTAAAAAGTTAGAAAACCTGTTTACAATCCCTTTTAATAAATATAGAACTTACCATCGGAGATAATGGAGGGAAGTTTAATAACGATAATTGTGAACTTACCATTAGAGATAATGGAGGGAAGTTTAATAAATGATAATTATGAACTTACCATTGGAGATAATGGAGGGAGTTTAGAAACGAAAATTGTGAACTTACCATTGGAGATAATAGAAGGAAGTTTAATAAACGATAATTATGAACTTACCATTGGAGATAATGGAGGGAAGTTTAATTAACGATAATTATGAACTTACCATTGGAGATAATGAAGGTAAGTTTAATAAACGATAATTATGAACTTACCATCGGAGATAATGGAGGGAAGTTTAATAAACGATAATTATGAACTTACCATTGGAGATAATGGTGGGAAGTTTAATAAACGATAATTGTGAACTTACCATTGGAGATAATGGAGGGAAGTTTAATAAACAATAATTGTGAACTTACCATTGGAGATAATGGAGGGAAGTTAAAAAAACAATAATTATGAACTTACCATTGGAGATAATGGAGGGAAGTTTAATAAATGATAATTATGAACTTACCATTGGAGATAATGGAGGGAAGTTTAATAAAAGATAATTGTGAACTAACCATTGGAGATAATGGAGGGAAGTTTAATAAATGATAATTGTGAACTTACCATTGCAGATAACGGAGAGAAGTTAAATAAACGATAATTGTGAACTTACCATTGGAGATAATGGAGGGAAGTTTAACAAATGATAATTGTGAACTTACCATTGGAGATAATGGGGGGAAGTTTAATAAATGATAATTGTGAACTTACCATTGCAGATAATGGAGAGAAGTTTAATGAAAGATAATTGTGAACTTTCCATCGGAGATAATGGAGGGAAGTTTAATAAACGATAATTGTGAACTTACCATTGGAGATAATGGAGGGAAGTTTAATAAAAGATAATTGTGAACTTACCATTGGAGATAATGGAGGGAAGTTTAATAAAAGATAATTGTGAACTTACCATTGGAGATAAAGGAGGGAAGTTTAATAAATGATAATTGTGAACTTACCATTGGAGATAATGGAGAGAAGTTTAATAAACGATAATTGTGAACTTACCATTGGAGATAATGGAGGGAAGTTTAATAAATGATAATTGTGAACTTACCATTGGAGATAATGGAGGGAAGTTTAATAAACGATAATTATGAACTTACCATTGGAGATAATGGAGGGAAGTTTAATAAATGATAATTGTGAGCTTACCATTGGAGATGATGGAGGGAAGTTTTATAAACGATAATTGTGAACTTACCATTGGAGATAATGGAGGGAAGTTTAATAAATGATAATTGTGAACTTACCATTGGAGATAACGGAGGGAAGTTTAATAAAAGATAATTGTGAACTTACTATTGGAGATAATGGAGGGAAGTTTAATAAACGATAATTATGAACTTACCATTGGAGATAATGGAGGGAAGTTTAATAAACGATAATTGTGAGCTAACCATTAAAGATAATGGAGAGAAGTTTAATAAACGATAATTGTGAACTTACCATCGGTGATAATGGAGGGAAGTTTAATAAACGATAATTATGAGCTTTCAATAATTCAATCTCACTCTGAAAGAAACAAACATCAACAATTAAATCATCTATTAGTTCAGGTTTAGAGGATATCTGGTATTTCTTGATTTGATGACTCAAATTATGACGGTGAGCAGTGAACACTATTACTGATTAGTCTAGCTAAAAATTGCTATTTCTAGACTAAGGTATGATTGGTCAAACAGTTGGTGACTGTGTCCTGAAAGAAAATCAACAGGAACCATACAAAGAAAGGAATAGACCAATATATAATATAACTAGGGCTGCAACAATTCACTGAAGAACCGATGAATCCCGATTCTTTCCTTCATATCGATGCATTGTGTTGGATAAAAATAATCATGATGTATCGGCACAATTAATTCATAACAAATGCTACAGAATCCTTATGTGCATAAGAAATTGTGTCATGTTTTCATTTTTCAAGTATGACTATCATATCAAAATTCAAAAAAAATTTTATTTTTTTTCACAATTCCTTACTTCTAAATGTTCTCAAGTGCTTAATAGTGACAAACTTCAACTATATTTTCTCGTTTCTTATCCAATAAATGAATCGTGATTATCATCCCAATGAATCGTTTCATTGGATGAATATCGTTTCCTGTATCCAAATCGCAACTTCAAGAATCGTTGCAACCCTAAAAATAACAGAACTAATACACTTACATGTAAATCAACATAATGGCCTACACTAGTTATTCCCATATCACATAAATCAGTTTGCTGTAATTTCAACAATCTTCTACCAGTTATATTATTGGCTAAAAATAAGTCAGCATATTGAGCTAAATCACACGTATGACCTGTAAAGAGACAAAGAACTGCATGAAATTAGTGGCACTCGATTGAAGAGTTCTGGACAGGTTCCGTCTGTTCCAATTCTGCCCTAAATTCGAACAGTACAGAATCTATTTCCTTCTGCATCATTTTCAATTCTGTCTACACCTATTTTTTCAGCAGACGTGGAATATGTTCCAACTTGTTTTATTGAGTGTCCAGTTGATTTCATGAATCCCGAACATGCGGAACTTAACAATTGAACGACCATAAAAATGTACAGAAATGGATGGACATAGTTTTATATCATTTTATCAAGTTTTAATTTTGATCAATCTAAAACCACCTTTTAATTTCTCAATAAAGTATTTGTTAATTCTAGAACTATACATTAAAGAAATTTAGGAAAACCTACCATTGTTGCCTAGTAACATTACCCATTGATGCTGAAAAAAATAGGAAAGAGCAGGATAAGCACACAGTTACAATAGACATTGGTCACGCCTCTTTTTGAGCCTAACGAATGCAAGGCTCAAAGCGTTAATTACTTTCATTTATTGAAAAGATGACGATTAATTGAACAGCATGAAAGTGGATATGACATAATAAATATTTCCCACACATTTCCTTATCCGCTATTTTGAATTCTGTAATCTGTCTGCACCTACTATTTTCTTCAGCACACGTGGAATGCATTCTGAACTGTTGCAGGACTCACCAATCGAGTGATCTACAGGAATGCAAAAGACGAAAAAGATTTTTCAATCAAGGGAAATTACTCAGTTTAAATTAGGTTCACAGTAAAATTATGGCTTAATAAACTTACCACATCAACCTCTCTCCATGTTTTTACATCATGATTATCTAATTGCTGTAAAAAAAATTTGTGGATTATGACTAAATTTAGCTCATTGATGTACCATCAGAATTGTTATAGTTGAAAGATAAGTGTATCAGCTGGAGTAGAGGCAGAAAAAATAGAACCTGTTGTATGGGTATTTTCCACACCTCAGAAAACCACCTATATCTATAGCTATAGCTATTGATCAAGTAATACCTCGTTTGACACCGTGTTTACAGGGTTAATAAAAATCTGTACAAGCAAGACAAATCTGTCAATCAAAAAAGTTGAGTAAAAGAAGTATAGTAGTGGACTCCTCCAAAGTAGTAGTACTCTCAGGTGTTTCGAAAAGAGTAAGTATTGTCTGCTTCTCAAGCGAGATTGTGAATTACTCTTCAATATTGGGTTTCTCTTGTATTTGCTACTATTTTACAGCAGGTATCGAACACAGCATAAGTCCAAGCTTACCACAACTTTAAACTGTTGTTCTAAATTCTTCTCTCGAACTCTAATCTTTTCTTCTCTATCTATTAGTTCTTTTTCTTTAACACCAATCTCTCTTTCAGCCTTCTTTAATCTCGTTAGGGTACTCTCAATTTCTTTTCTGTTAAATAGAGATAGAATTTGTCTATATTGCCGGGTTTGATCAAGTCGACTGATCGCCTAGTCAATGTTAGTATTGATACAAAAAGAGGATTCATTACAGGGATTGTAAAGAGATTTCAAATTTTTTTTATGTATCAGGGACACTGATAGCATCAATTTGTACCATTCCAATTTTCAATCAAAAATCTGTGGTTCTAGCAATTCTACTAAACTATGTTAGAGTAAAGTCTTATGTGATACAAGAAAATTTTGCAGGGGTCATGTCATCAAATACTTAGTTTTAGTGGAATTGCAGGAACCACAGACATCTGATTGAAAATTGGAATGGTGCAAATTGATGCTATCAGTGTCCCTGATACACAATATACAAAATTTAATGAATGAACAGAAGTGAAGCAGCCTCATGGCAAGGGGAAATTGGTGCTGGGCCTTAATTTTGTGTAAAGGTGGGGCAGGGGTAGCTTGTCGCCAAAAGGAACGCCACAAAACCAAGATTGGGGGTCTGCGGGCTCTACCCCAAGGAAAAGCAATTCAATACCTCCTTATCAGCCCCTTCTATCTTCATCACTGATAGTGAGTTAGAACTTTGTTAGCAAGCATCTGACTGCCAGTGAGTCATTGGGCCCATCATGATTTACTGCAGAGAACTATTAAAGATGGGTTTCCTTATTTTTTAGTGTCAAATTAAGCAAACTATTGGATTAATTGGTGTTTCTAATGAATTATCATGTATTCTTAATCATATCATTATGTTCTTATTGCATATAATGAAGAGTTTTAACCAATCATAAATGTGCATGTATATACAGTCTGGATAAACAAAAAAGACTTTTTGACCTTTGTTGGTCTGTCACTTATTGGAATTCTCTTCTAATTTAGCTCATTATGAATTAATTATGGACATGTGAGACAAACTGGTATTTTTCTAAGTCATTAGAACACCTCTAATTTCTATTCATATAAGTATTACCATTTTCATTTCATAAATGAAAATAAGGGAACCCATCTTTAATCAATGAAATTCAACTTACTTCCAAATTTCTTTATGTTCCAAAAAGGAGTTTGTAACATCAGCCAACAAATCTGAAATACGGCAAGAAATTAAACATGTCAAGAAATTAAACATGTCAAGAAATTAAACATGTCAAGAAATTAAACATGCCAATAAATCTGAAATATGTCAAGAAATTAAACATGTCAACAAATTAAACATGTCAACAAGTTAAACATGTCAACAAATTAAATATGTCAAATTAATATATCATGCCAACAAATCTTAAATATGTCAACAAATTGAACATGTCAACAATTAAACATGTCAATAAATTAAATATGTCAATAAATTAAACATGTCAACAAATTATACATGTCAACAAATTATACATGTCAACAAATTGAACACGTCAAGTTATCAACACTGAATGAATTATAAATTTTGGAGTTCTTCATGTACTAATTTAAAATCCTGAAGACACTAAATGCTATTCAGGTTGGTTGGAAGCCCCCCCCCCCCCCCCCCCCCCATCCCATTGAACCCTGGACCTTCAGGTTAGTGAGCAAGCGTCTATCTCACTGAGCCAGCGCGGCTCCCAAAGGTAAATAAAAGGAACCTTACCATCATGAAGTAGTTTATCTAATTCTAATAATATCTGTTTAAATTGGGGTCGTTTTTTCGGGTCATTTTCCCAACAATGTCTCATTAATTTACCAAAACATGGTGGACAGGTACTAGGTATAGTTAATCTCTAAAAAAAAATCAAAATTCAGAAATTTCAGGACAGATTGTAGCTCAAGCTCGTGGAGTGTTTGAATCTTGACATCATTAGTTTGGATACTTTAAACAATTGGAGGTAAGAGGTTCTAATTTTGATTGGCATGTGAAAGTGTGGTGACCTTAATGTTACAGATTTGCCATTCGTTTGGGAAATTATATTGCAGTCTCAGAAACGGGAATTTTTTAGCTAAGTTAATAGTGTTCACAGCTCATTGTCCAAATTTAGGCCTTCAAATCCATGTGTGTCTAGAATTTTAGGTGTTAAAAAGACGACTCGTCTACCATAGATAGAAAAGACATCTATAGAAATAGAAAGTGAAATTCCTAGTTTGAGATATTTTTTAAGGAATTATGCGATTTTCATATATATTTCTAATACTTCTGAAGACTATTTACATATATTCAAGACCCAAATCAACCCCTAAAAATGTTGAATCTGTTCCTTTAACATTAAAAATTTTAAACTAAATTTTTAAAAGTTTTTTCAACAAACAAGATCTCATTTCTAAGATCTTCAAACTAAGATACGAAAAAGAAAATGAATTTGTACTGCATTACCTCCCCTTTTTCAACTATTAACCAGGCCACTTGAAAACCATCTATACCATTAAAAGGAACTTGATGTGTTAACAGCTCCCAAAGAACCTAAAACAAACAATAATTTACTTATGCTGCGGGCACACAAATTTTGTTGCTGACTAGAATCTTGTCAAGAGTTTTATGGACTAGCTGTGGGCACACAAGAAGACAAAAATCTCCAGTCCGTCGTTTTCCACTATGTAGATCATGCAATTCAAGGAAAAATGAATCTGATTGGATGATGATGCTCTGTCTTGCAGACGATCGGCAACAAATATTAAACTGACAATAATCTTGTTGAGATTTTACACAAGATTTTAGTCAGCGACAAAAATCGGCGACAAAGACTGTTGGTGTGCCCGCAGCATTACTGATGCACAAGAAGATGGAAAAAATTTTTAAAATTTGACTTTAAAACGGTAATGAAATTTACATCTTAATGTTTGCTTCTGATGGGGCCAATCAGCAGATATAGCCATGCAGTGTTCAATGAGTGAAGTAGCATTAGTAGGTCAGTAAAAAGCTGTATTTAACTACATCACAATAATGGCATAGAAAACAAATAATACTTACCACACCATAAGACCAAGTATCACAAGTTTCAGATACAGGAAAACTCTGTATAACCTGGAGATCAAGAAACATATAGTAAGAGTAAAATTATATTCAGCACAATGAGGTGGCACTCAGTGGAGGTGCTAGCCTTCCGAGACTGGGTACAAGTAGGGGGCAGACTTATTCAATGTTGGGGACAACTACTGAAGCTTAATTAATGCCACTGGTGGCAATTAGTTAAAGTTCTGAACAGGTCTGTCTGTCCAATTCCGGGTCATGAAACGGTTATGTATTGGGATACAAGGGTCATGATACGATACATATCACAATACAAGGGTATGTTGTATCACCATACATTGATACACTGATATATCGCGACATCACTATAATATGCCCTGTAAATTGTTACATACTACCACTTCAACCAAATTTTCTTACCTCTGGCGCCATCCAAGGAAATGTTCCAGCTAATGACATCTTAGTGGTACTACCAACAAACCTTGAGGCTCCAAAATCACATAACTAGAAATAAAAATCCAAAATCATTGTTATCAAGGGTTTCCAACAAATTTGGGTGTTTAATGTTAAATTGGGCATGAAATTGTATTATCATAGAACCTAAATTATTTGTAAGAAATTGGATTCATTTTTTTCTATCCATGAAAGGTTTTATTTCAGCCTCTGACAGATATTTTGACAGTTATTGGCTGGAGTAGAGTCAGCAAAACTAGGCCCAGTTTTATGGAGTTTCCACACCAACTAATACATAACATAATATTAAATTACCATGACCCTTGACCTTTGTAGTTTTAAATGGCCAATGAGAGATAAGTTTTGTTGAATAATACTTTGATGAAACCATCGACATGACATAAATGATGTAGGGGGCTTATGATGGTGTGACTGAACTACAAAAATATCCACCTTTCAGAATATATTCGGTGCAGAAAAATCCCAATTAGACAGGGCCTAGTTTTTCTGTCTCTACACCAACCAACAGCTATCAGAGGCTGGAATAGAGGCAGATATTTCGGTCTACATACCTTACATGACCAATCTTCAGATATGACAACTGAAAAAAAAATTCATAAGAAAAATAGATTTAAAAGAAACACAAAAGCATTTGAAAATAAATTCATGGATGTCATTTGCTGGTGATTGTTGAAAGTTCAATTTTTCTAATATTCTGTTGTTTCACAGGTTGATTGTAAAGAGGCATTCTAAATTTTGTATGTGTATTGGGGACAATGGTAGCATCAATTTGTACCATTCCAATTTTCAATCAGACATCTGTGGTTCCTGCAATTTTCATTAAAACTAAGTGTTTAACAACATCACTTTTATCTTATTCTAATCTAAATCGCAAAACATATTTTGCAACTAGTGATGTCATCAAACATTTATTTTTTGTAGAATTGCAGGAGCCACAGACATCTGGTTGTAAATTGGAATGGTGTAAATTGATGCATACACTTAAAATTTTTTAGAAAACCTTTTTACAATCCCTTTAAAGACATTGAAAAATAGAAATAATATGTTACTGGTGCACAGAAAAAAAAGAAGTAATGACATAAAAATATGCCTACCATTTTTTGATTTGAGATCTCTATGTATGACTTTAATTGGAGCTTCACAATGGAGGTAGTTCATTCCTGTGGCTATTTCTCTGGCCCACTTTAATATCTGATTAAAATCCAGTTCATTTTCAGGATTTTTGAGGTAGGCATATAAGGAATCATGGCTAGCATACTCTACAAAATAGACCAAAACACAGTCTAGTTGAGAAAAATGAAATGAAATGAGTTTTACATCCTACTCTTTTGCAAACATGAGGACCTCGGTTTATTGTCTTCAATTGTAGACAAACTAGACCTTAGATTTTAATAATGATAAGTAGGGATAGCTAGAAATGAACTAAATAATTAAAAAAAGTCAGTCTTCTATGAAATGAAATGAGTTTTACGTTTTACACTTTTGCATCTAATTGGTGCATCTAAACGCCATAGAGTGTGCAATGAGGCAAATTTTGCCAGCACACCAGCATTAGCCTACTGGTTTTTGGATTTCCAACTGTCGAGGGATCTTTAACGTGCACAGTCTGTAGCACACGGGGTCTCAAGATTATTGTCTCCTCCGAACGACTCTTTTTCTGTGTCAGTCCCTCCAACTTGCATCACTGTCAAGGGGAAACTGGATTGGAAAATCCAAAGGTATTTCCTCGACCCATGCATGGAGTGAACACTGGAACATCAGGTTAGCAAGCAAGCATCTAACTCACTGAGCCACCGCTGCTCCCAGAGAGTCTTCAATGAAAAGACCTACCTGTGACCAAACAAAAATTAGGATCTTCTGTAACAGCACCATAAAACTGAATAATATTTCGATGACTAAGAACACTTAAAACCTGAGCCTGAAAATGAAAATTAGTAATTAATACTTCAACTCAAATCCATTGCAATCTGTGAAGGGTTCATTCATGTGTCGGCCATATTGAATCCAGATTGAGGCTCATAACACAAACAAACAAAAGGTAATTTTGTGTCACTGCAGTAAAATTGCCACCTTGACGTCTTTAAAGCCTCCTTCTCCAATCTAACTAACTCAAAACTAATCATATTTTACATCATTAATATCAGAATTGATTAGGCTATTTTATGATACTTTCAGAAGAATTGAACCTTCACACATATCTGAGAAAGGTAAGTTTTAAGCATATTTTCTTGCTGTTGAGCAATTCATATGACGTCTTTTCAATGGATAAAAAAAAAGTTTTCTCCCCGTGAGACCCTGGGCTAGTTTTGGGCCTGACTTGGCCAATAATCTGCCAATAATAGAAATTTACTTACCTCTTTTTCTAAGACTAGAAGACGTTTGATTGCTACAATCATATTCTTTGATTTCCATAATGCACGGTAAACACTTCCAAAGGTACCGCCCCCGCATCTTTCATAGAATAATAGATCATCTAGATCAATCTCACAAAATATTTCTGTAGCCGACATCTCCAACAAGTTATCATCTCATTTCTTACTTCATTTTCTTAGAGCTGAAAAAGAAAATGATTTTAATGAACATGAACAGTCTTGTTCGCTGATTTTTGTCACTGACTCAAATCTTGAGTAAAATCTCACATGTGCCCAAGCTTCCACGTCGAGGTTATCCTGTTGACGACAGAATACATAATATCAAACCAGTTTGATAGTTTCGACGATTGTTATATCATCTGGAAAGAGAGCATCATCATCCAATCAGATACATTTTCCTTTCAATTGCATGATCCGCACATGATTATCGACATTATGGAAAACGACATCCAAAACAATATATTGGCGAAACATTGGTCGCAGCTAATGAACTTTCCACATGAGGAAGTATATCAATCATAAGTGAGTAATTATTTCATAATGAAAAGTGCTGTTAGGTGTCTAGAAGAGTAAGCATACCCTGCCTGGTGCCACACCTGTCATAGCTGCCAATAACAAACACAACAAATTGCAAAATAGGCCTTATTACTGATAGCATCAATCAATTTTCACTAAAAATAAGTGTTTTATGATTAAATCACTAATTGCTTGTATCAAATAAATAAGGCCTTTGCAATTATCAACTTAGTTTTATTGGAATTACAGGAACCACAGACATCTGACTAAAAATTGGAATGGTGCAAATTGATGAAATCAGAATCCCTGATACACATACAAAATTTAGCAAAACTCTTCACAATCCTTTTAAATCATAACCAACTAAAAATTAATAATTTTTGGAACATTGATTTTCTAGAATCACCTGAACTAACTGGTCATTAGGCTACTGATGGTAACAAAGAATAGAAAATAATATCATAATATGGTATTAATAGAGACTAGCCTAGAGGTCTGTGACATTTCTGGTTTAAATGTAGAAGCTAGACAATGTCTTATAGTGTGTTTAGACGACAAAAGTTAAGGTAGCTAAACTATCAACCATTCTTTAAGCCTGGCTTTTTTAGTCCTCTGAACACTCTTTAAGCCTGGCTTTTGTAGTCCTCTGATACTCTTTAAGCCGGATTTTTTAGTCCTCTGAACATGACTGGTTAAACTTTAACTGCCTTAATGTACACTTATTTCGAAAGTGGCTTAAAACCTGGCTTGAATGGTTAAGCCAGCTTAAAGTGAGTTCAAAAGACAAAAGTTAAGCTTTACAATCAACCATTTTTCAAGCTAGATTTTTTTAGTCGTCTTAGCTGACTTAATCTTCAAAGTTGGCTTAAAACCTGGCTCGAATGGTTAAGCCAGCTTAAAGTGAGTAAAAAAAAGGACAAAAGTTAAGCTTTACTATCAACCATTCTTCAAGCCCGATTTTTTTAGGCGTCTATGCTGACTTAACTTGCACCTTCTTCAAGATTGGCTTAAAACCTGGCTCGAAAAGTTAAGTCAGCTTATATTGTTAGACACCAAAGTTAAGGCACCTAAACTGTCAACTTCAAGTCTGGGTTTTTAGTCATCTGAACGTGACCGGCTAGCTATCTTAGTTTGGCCGTCAGGCAGCAGCAAAAATTTCAACAAAAATGCAAACAGCAGCAGTAACTTAATATGAAATAAATATAATATCATATTATAATCCTGTATGGTTATTTCTTGAATGAACGTTGACAGGGTCCCCTCTTCCTCTCCGTCTCCCTACACCAACTATCGTACTAACTACGGTACCATACTAGGACTACCAACCAATGCAAACAATGCAAACTGAACGAGAACTCAAAATCAACATTCCACTGCTCAGTCCGTAAGAAATTGTTACAATTTTATCAACAGGTTTCTTTCTTACTCACATTATTTCAATGTTGTTTCTGCTGTCGCACATTGTGTACATCGAACAAATTTTCTAAAAATAGATTATAGCGACATCTAAATTTCAACTCTGAATTAAAATTCATGGTGAAACACGGTTTGTGTTGTGTATAGTGTCAGTCATGGATTATTTTAGGATAGCACAGATAGTATCAAAATTCATCTGAACTCATAAAATTGCATTATAAAAGAAACAGTTCAACGACAACCATTAGTAGAAACGTAGTTTTTGCAAAATACTACAGACTACAAACAAACTGGCCTATTCAAGGGCCTTAACTGCGAAATAGCATTCAACGTACAAGACCACAACTAATACCGCTTCTACCTTGACGTTTCTTCCAGGAAAAAACAGATCCGAGGGGCATCATAGCCAGCATAATATTGTATTACAATGCTGTTGAACTTAGCAAAGCACAATAGTTCAAAGCTTATATTTAGCGAAATGTTTCTAAGATAGGCGTTTCACTAGTGAGCAAAAACGTTATCAGTTTTATTCAAACCATTCTAATTTGTATCTGGAACATAGATAGCATAAATTTGCACCATTCATATTTACAAAGCAAAGCTGATAAGAAGCGAAACGTATCCAAGATAATCATAAAGTATGCAAAAACACAACAAGTTTCATCAAAACCATTCAAAATAAAACTGTAACCTTTAAAAGGTTCGCAAAGAATGTGAATGGACGGACATCCTCGTGTGGGCGTATATAAAAACAAAATACAAATTTCAAAGTTTTATATGAAACTATAGACATAAAAAATCTACACAAACACTCCAAACAAAAACTAAAATAACTTAATGATTAAAGGGACAAGTGCGCCATTTTCGTGAGTTGATTTGGGTCTTGAATGTAAATAATTTTCATAGAGGTATTAGAAATGTACGAAAATCTCACAATTCCTTCAAAAACATCTCAAACTAGGAATTATCTTTCTATTTCTGTATATATGCCTTTTTAAAGAAAAGACGAGTCGTCTTTTTAACTTTTTAAAGCAAATAATTCTGGACACGCATGGATTTGAATGCTCAACTTTCGACGGTAGGTTGTGAATTACTGAAAAAAATCCGTTTCTAAGACTAAGATACGACTGGTCAAACTAACGGCGAACCCATCCCTTTAAATAAATGGTATAACTTAATAAACAATATTATATATAAAATAAATTATGTATTGCACTTATCATTAAATATTACTAATATTATCAAAACTTTTGGAAAGGGCCAATTACCTTCATATTAATTCAAATATCGTCGTTAAAACGATGGTTTAATAAGGTATCAAATGTTTCATAAATAAATGCCTACAAAAATGTTTCCGAATCAACATACAGTTATCAGCATCTGCGTTGTCTTTAATCCTCCGACAGCCTCCGGCAGCGCATTATAGAATAAATAAATCTTCATAAAATTTCATATAGGAAAATGGCAAGATTTATTTATTGTTTCGTTTCATCATACCCGATAAGTACCTTTCCAACTTTTTATTGCAGCTTGCGTCATGAAACCGTCATGAGCACATATTTTTCAATTCCCGAATATCAAGTCTAAAAATTAGCTGTTGGACTGTCGGATGATTAAAGACACCACCGCATCTGGTGATCTGAGTCTAGGACCTCACGAAAAAATGAACAATAAATATGACTAGATGAAAATATGTTCACCTCAATAAAATGGATTTATAAAGAAGTTTTTAAAATTTGTATGTGTATCGGGGACACTGATAGCATCAATTTGCACCATTTCAATTTTCAATCAGACATCTGTGGAACCACAGATGTCCCCTATATACATATTTTTTTTTTTACAAAACCTCTTTACAATCTCTTAAACTAACTGCGTGGTGTCTGAAATCTCCCAAAACCCATGGAATTATGGAACCACAGTCGTCTTTATCACGGGAAAAATCAAAAATTGCCTGGTCCAATGAAACGAACCCATAATGGTACCTATATTTCTCAATCTAAATTTAGGCGTATAAATCGACTTTTTTACAGTTTGCCTGAAGATTCAAACATTGCTTAATTGCCTCTTGACAATCATTATAATCAGCAAACGGACGGATGATCAGCTGATCAAGAGTTTTAAGATGACCCAGAAGAACACTTAAGGCATCAGATGTAACAACTCCTCCAATGATCTCTTTTAATTTCTTAGCGAAGATCTCATCAGAGCGAGTCCATACATCCAGCTTAGGTGTCATGTCCTGAACGTATCTACATCTATCGCACATCGCTCGCTGAGTTTTACCATCTTCGGGGATCGATAAATACCCAGAGCACTTTTCACAATAGAAATAAGGAACCTCGTTGGGGATTTGGAAGTACAAAGGCCACTTTTCCAAGCATGCTTTGCAGCTACATTTGAAGAAATACTGTGACAAAAGTTTTTCTTGACGATCTTTTTTAGCCGTTAAAGGATACAAGGCCCCATAGCTGTCATACACTTCAGTTCCTTTGGGGATGTTTCTGATAGCTCTAACAGCACAAAAATCTCCGTAAGAATGACGCACAACATTGGGATCACACGAATGGTTGATCAAACTTAAGGTTGCATAAATACCGGATCCAATTTCCATTGTTTGGGAATTAGGTAAATCATATTCTCTGTAAGCAAATTCGGACACTTCATGGGCATTGCAAGGTAACATTTGGATATGTCGTAATATGTGCCCACCAATCACACATTTTTCGGGAAGATGGGCCTTGGTTGACAAAGGCTGAGAGCTTAAAGTGTGTTCAAGGCACTTCACCATAAAGACAGCTACGACCGATCTTTTAAAAAGGTCTCCCAAAGAGCGTTTTTCACTATGCTTCACCAAAGAATAAACAGTGTCATAATCCATAGAATCATACACGCCATCCTTATTGAACCCAATCCTCAGGATATCGGATCTAAAACTCTCCGGATACTTCTTGTTGTTCTGGAGAATATGATTCAGACCAGCCTTCAACACCATTCTCAAAGCCAAATGCCCGAGTCCAAAATCAATATTATGGATTGTTTCTAGAACTCTACACTCGGCGAAGTGGAAACTTTTCATAGCTTCAGCCTTGCATTCCTCACTGCAGAAAACAACACCACTGCATTGATCACATGGTAAAGGGGAGAGCACTCTATTCAAACAATTCTGGCAATGGGTTAAATCCGAGTTGTGCATGTTTTTAGATGCAAAAGGTTTCTCACAAAACAAAAGTTCGCCTGCTTCCACATCCTTCGTGGTGTAAATACCTCTACCTCTCTCAGGCGAGTATTTTAAAACTAATGTTTCTGCCATTACCGGAATTTCATCACTTGGCAGTCCTATTCTCGGCATGGTACCATGGCAGTGGTTAAATTCCTTCACAGTCTTTGTCAATTTTGCGGCTTTGATTTTTCTAGTTTTCATAAGTTGTTTAATCATGTCATTCTCCAGGGATTCATGTTTCCTTGCATCTAATCCAGCTTCGTCCAGCATCTCCATCCCGGTCTCAAAGGCAACAATAGCTTCATCCTTTTGTCGCAGGAAGTAGTAGCATCGCCCAAGACGATCATAAAGCTTATACTGCATCTTTTCTGGATATTGATTCTTCAGAGCTAACTTGATGTCCTGAACACACAATAAGTAATGAGACAGATGATACAGCACAGCTGATCTATTGGCAAAGCCTAGTGCTAGTTCAGGTGAGTCATCTCCTTTTGGAAAAGGCGCATTGATGATGCACAATGAATAAAGTTCTAATGCTTTGGTGTGTCTTTTCGATTTGAACATCTCATTGCCCTCCGTCCTATATTTGGCTGCAGTTTCCAGATCTTTCTTTTTGTACCCTTCTTCCACTTCTATGGCATCATATATTACAGGATTAGAATACAATAGTTTAAATCTTTCCGCATCTGACTTGCAATTGGCAAAAGCAGCATTAATAGCATCCACAGAATCTAACTCCTGAATAGCTTCTTTAACACTTCCCACTACGTCATAGTATTCAATTGGTTCTTTCACTGGGCCTATGGGTTTACTGTAATCTGGTTTGTTCTCGACTGGTTTCGGTGGCACTTCCTCATCTTCTGACTCTTCATCATATTCATCATCAGCTTCTTCGTCTCCAGACTTCTCCGATTTATCTTGTGATTCAACTTGCCCATTTTTTGGTTGACCATTCTGTATTTTTGACTCATCTTTAGTAATGTTACCATCTGTTGTACCTTCTTCTGTTGGATTTTTACTGTTCGGTTCTACAGCTTGAACGTTTTCAGTTGTACCACTCTGCTTTGCAGTTTCAACAGCGCCATTCTGTTTTGCATCTTCAACATTTTCAGCTGCATCATTCTGTTTTTTAGCTTCAACTTTTTCAGCTGCACCATTCTGTTTTTTAGCTTCATCTCTTTCAGCTTTACCATTCTGTTTTTTAGCTTCAACTTTTCCAGCTGAACCATTCTGTTTTGCAGCTTGACTGCTTCCAACTTTACCATTCTGTTCTACTGGTGGATTTTCTTTTGAAGTTTCTTTACCATTCTTTGGCTGGGTTTCCTTGGGAACTGAAGAGTCTGCTTTCTGGTTTATTTGCTGTACTGGCATTTCTGTTGACTCTTCTTTTTTCGGTTCTTTTATATTTTCTGCAGCATTCTTGGCTGTCTCAATTGAAGGCTTTGTTGATACTGGTACATCTTGCTTAGTCTTCTTTGGATCAAGACTGGATGTTCTAGGAGTACCGTTGATTTTGGGTTTTTCTATTTTAGGTTCTTCTTTCTTTGTTGGTGCAGCAGCTCTTTTCTTCTCTGGTGATAGTGGTGTTGTTTTCATTTTTTGAGGGGTTGGTACCTTTGGTTTAATGGTAGGAGATTTAACCTTCTCAATGCTTCCCTTTTTACCAACTTCAGCTGGGGCTAGTGTCTTTTTGGGTGTGGTTCCAATAGCACCCTTAAGTCTATCTGTTAATTTCTTTACAGAAGGCTTTGGTGATGTCACTTTGAGTTTCTCTGAATTTTCTGGACTTTTTGGAGAAAGAGCACCTTTTGTAGTTTTTGTTATATCTTTCTTTGGTTTATCCATTCTTTCAATCCTGAAATATATAAATAAAGACTTTTTAATGAAAAGCAGGTTTACAGACAATCTAATTAACATTACATTTTCGTTTCGGTATTATTTTCCTCTTTTATCGGTCTGCTGCCAATCAGAACAATTTTTACGAGCGAGAATCGGCAGTCTCATAATTAAATCTTCTTAAATAACAATGGAGATCGACGAAAAATAATAACAAAAAGAAATTGTAATCTTAAATTGCCTTACAGGAAATCCTTACAAGAGCTTAAATTTTGTTTAGAGTGAGCAAACTCTATAAATTGTAGTGAGAGGTCAACAACAAAGGGAGACAAAGGTGTGAAAATTCTTCACCAGAAAAAAATTAAGCCACTGTCCTATGCCGCTATCAGGTGCAGAAAAGACAGCAAAGTGTTAATAAAGAGGTTTTCTAAATTTTTATGTGAATCGGGGACACTGACTGATAGCATCAATATGCACCATTCCAATTTTTAATCAGACATCTGTGGTTCCTGGTCCACTATCGCTAAGGTCCTTATGTGATAAATATATATAATATAAATAAATATTTAGCGATTAGAGACGTCATACAATTAGACATGAATGATACGATAAAACATAATCTGAAGTTGAAACATTTGCATTTGACTTATTGACATTCCTATGAATTGTTGATATTCTGGTACATTTCCATCCATAGACAAACCCTTGTGCCATACCTAAAGCCACGTCTAAATACTATACACAATTAACATGTCGAAAAATGCAAAATGATTTTGATTTGGAAAATTTACAGCATTGAAACAAAAAATTTAGAAAATGTACGTAAACGTTTATTAAGTACGTTCCTCTAAACACATTAAATAAGTTCCGAAATATTTGAGTGACTAGGCCAACCCTGACTAATCGTATTCGATTCCATCATACTTAGGTTCCCAAATTCCTGCGTTCAATGTGGATGAAATTGCGTTGAAATGATTACGTCTGGGTTTCAAAACAACTTGGTTTAAAGAAGAATGATCGTTACTTACGTTTGAAAGCAGAATTTCCGAATGAACAACTTTTCAACAACACGCTGAACTTTAACGTTTAAGACACAGAGTTATCGTTCTTGATAAAGGTGATCAAATTTCGTCTGCTACTTACTTCTAGCATGTTCCTGTCTGCACGCGATATACAGGAACCGTTGGGGGGGGGGGGGATAATGACGCGCTTTGTAATCTGGCATAAATTTTTTGGACAGTTATAATTTCCATCGTTCCATTCAGTAAGGCTTATAATTTAAAGGGACAGATGCGCCATTCTTTTTGACTAATCATACTTTAGTCCCAGAAATGGGAATTTTTTTTTAACTAAGCCAATCTGCAATATTGTTCACAGCTCACCGTCGAAATTTGAGCCTTCAAATCAATTGTGTGTCCAGAATTATCCAGACTCAAATCAGCCATCATGGCATCTGTCCATTTTATTTGTTCTATTCAGTCAAGATATATTCTGCGACATGAAAAAATTGCAGGAAAACCTAAGAGAAAATTACACAACTGCAAGGAGAAAGGGGCCTAAGACAATCGATCAATAAAGATTCTGAAAAGTGTAATAGAAAGAAAGGAAAACCTTGGATTACAGGCTACCCTACTCAGTAAAAAATAAATTTAGCGCATGGACGATTTGTTGACTGATGAATTAGAATTTGTATACAGTAATGTATCTTACCAACATGCATCATCATATTAAAATAAGACATTTATATACAGATTTTTATCCAATAAATTATAATTCGAGACAAATTTATTACCGTACGTGATAAACATCGTATTATATTAAAACATTGTATACGAACATAACATATTCCGTTTAAACACATTGTATATACGAACATAACATATTCCGTTTAAACACATTGTATATACGAATATAACAATACATAGGCCACCTTTTAAAATAGTGTTACAAATATAAAATTGAACAAAAATGTACAAGATTTTGAAAAATGTACAGGATTTTCCAACAGTGTAAAGGAAAAGTTCCGGCTTAGTTCCCTTTTAGTTCACATGACTTAAGTCGAAACGTCTCTCCATTACAAGTGCAAAAATTGCAGAATTCTAAATTTCTTATGTGTATCGGGGACACTGATAACATCATTTTACACCATTCCAATTTTCTATCAGACGTCTGTGGTTCTTGAAATTGCAATAAAACTAAGTGTTTGATGACGTCACTAATCGCGAAATATGATTTATCACTGAATACCCTTCGCTTAATTTTTTTATTTCGAACCAACTGAAGGTTTGAAATGAGTCTTTAAAACTATGTAAAACTTTGAGTCTTTGAGATATGTTTTTAAGCTAAGCATAGAAATATGGAGGTGTCTTCGATGATATTGTGTACGTGACAATTGGCAATACAATTCACGATGGTGTTTTTCCAGATCGTGATCTAGAACGAACAACGCTAGTGATCGATTTGGCAAGACGCATCTTGGTGCTAGGTTTCTCTTGTTTTATAGATTTGTCACTTGTTGATCGTTTGGGTGCCTTCCCTCGTCGAGTATCTGAAGATCCATCGGTGTCATCTCGAACTGCTAATCTAGCTGCAAAATAAAAGTTAATACCTTCACATAATATGTAAGCTAGATAACATGAAATTCGGGTTATCAATTACTGCACTCGTTATTGACCCTTATATTAAAGGGACGTGTTCGTCATTTCGTTTTGTAGGGGTGGGGATTAGATCTTGAATATATGTATATAACCTTTAGAAGTATTAGAAATGTACGCATAATTTCTTCAAAAATACCCCAAACTAGAAATATCACTTTCTATTTCTATATATGACGAGGCGTCTTTTTAACTTTCAATTGCGGATAATTCTGGACAGTGAGTA